TGCCTTACGGAAGAGCTACTTTATATATATATATATATATGCCTTCTTAACGTATTCGCTTCCTATGGTTATGCATGAAAACCCTCATGATTTTAATGTGCTTTTTTTTATATGCTAATATAAAATATTGTATATTATGTAATTATTTATTTATATATTATGTTCATATATACATATTTATTTTTTTATTTTATTTCAAAGATATATTTAATTACTATAAAAACTTGAGAAATGTATAGTAAAGTGAAATTCTAAAAATATGACCACATATTAAATTTAATCAGTGTATATATATACACACACATATATATATATATACACACACACATTTTTTCAATCATAATAAAGAAGACAACTTATAACAATTTCAAAATTAAATGTGTCTTTAACCTAACATTTTAAACAATATGATGGTCAAAAGGGAAATTTCGACAGTTAAAAGTGAAGACTCACATAGGAGTGACACCTCAAGAAAATTCATGGAGGTTATATTTAGAATAAATTTTAAAATACTGTATAATTTATTTATAAATTAATTCTTAATTTAATTAAAAATGTAAGTTTTGTAATAAAAATTATATTAGATATATATTCCATTGATTTTGACAGAATAATTTAGTATATAAATAATTATAATTCAAAATTTACATGAAAATACAAAAAACGTCAATTTTTATTGGTATATTACCATCTACGCAGAGATTTGCAAATATTTGATTCTACGTTTGTGCTAATTAACATGAACAAAAAGTTTATTAAAAATGAAAAATGGAATTCGTGGACTAATAATTTTTTAATCTTGCAAATTCAGAACAAGAAATGAGACAAAACAAACGCATACATGTAGAGAATTTATTGAAAGAAACACAAGTTGTAAATGCCCAAAATTTAATTAAAATAGAATATTGAATTAATGAAATAATAGCGGAAGTAATTGAGAATTTAGGGTTTACATTCATAGTACAGTAAATTAGGATGCTCAATAGAATTACAAGAATATTCCTTAAAATATATTAAAATAACAAAATAAAAATATAATTAAAAATCCTATAAGGTCAATCTCCGTAGGATGACTCTAATGGGATGAGAGAAGCAACGTTTAGTCGCTAACTTTCTTCATGTTCAAGATCTGAATCTTGGTCTTCTTGATTTGAAATGATTAAATAAGGAAAATGTCAACACTTAACAACCGATACGAAAAATTAAATGTGGA